ACTTATGAGAGCTCCAAAGGTTCACTGTTATCTCTGATACTCAAAATAATACTATTCCCTTGCAAGATAAAACACACACATGTAAAGGTGTTATCTCCTTGGCCTTTTAAAAATAGTTATTTTGCTGTCTTTGTCCAAATACATAGGAAGAGATTAAATTTGGTTTTAATTTGGGATATGGGCAAAACTTCCAAAAGAGTTTCCACCCAATCCAGCACAATGCCACACTTTTGTTGTGGTGCAAAAACACAGAGCCGTGAGGTGATCGTGATATGCAGCAATGCTAAATAATTACAACCAACAAATCAAAAATGTTATTAGTCTATAGGCAGTAGTAAATATTTTACAGTAAAAGCAGCTTTAGGAAGTATTTTTCAACCCTAATCCTTACTTTCTCTCAACTATGTGTAATAGAAAACTGCTGATATTGAAAAGGCATGTCTATTTTCTGAGACTGAATATTGTTAACCATTTTAGTGGGAAGAATTTCTTAGGTTTGTTATGTCCTAATGCATTGTATTCTTAAAAAATGGAAAGTGAAACTCAGAGATCATAGACAATGATAAACCTAAGATGGTGCATATTTTATTAACAGCTCTATGTATCATATATTTTTGTCAATTAAAAATTAAAAATAAAAAGTTCTGTGGAAAAACCTAATTATCTACATTCTCTAGAAAATTTTTTTTATCCTTCTAAACAACAGTGGAAACATTTTTCCTGCTCTGTCCCTGTGCCCTCCCCAACTTCCCCATCCCCAACTTAGGCTTATAAAAGACTAAGAATTCACTTTGGCTTAGTAATCAGTACATCCCTTTCAAAATCTTACCTTCAAAGACAGATTTGTCCTCCATTGTCAATGAAGACTGTTTGGACTTACTAGTTCACTTCTACTTGGAAAGTACTTGATATGAGAAAATAAAGAATTGCAAAGTCTTAACTTTGATATTTGAACTTTATAATCATTTGGAATCAGTTTTCTTCCATTCAAATTTATCTCAGCCAAAAATGTTCAATATCTGTGTTTTCACCTCTTGTTTTTATGATCCATTTATTTCCAAAACTTAGAGGAGACTCCCAAGTGGAAATGGGGTCAACACAGCTAATCTCTGGCTTGAGTTAAAAAGCAAGACTTCTTAATCTTGCAGATGCTAATTTTTTTTTCAAAAGACTATTAAGTGACTTTTTAAAAAGCCAAGTCTCAGGCCAGTCATGGTGGCTCACACCTGTAATCCCAGCACTTTGGGAGGCTGAGGTGGGCAGATTACCTGAGGTCAAGAGTTCGAGACCAGCCTGACCAACTCAGAGAAACCCCACCTCTACTAAAAATTTACAAAATCAGCCGGACATGGTGGCACATGCCTGTAATCCTAGCTACTCGGGAGGCTAAGGCAGGAGAATCGCTTGAACCTAGGAGGCAGAAGGTGCAGGGAGCCAAGATCGCACCACTGCACTCCAGCCTGGGCAACAAGAGTAAAACTTGGTCTCGAAAAGAAAAAAAAGAAAAAGCCAAGTCGCAACTTCTTTGTAATAGGAAAACACATCATATCTATTAATATTTTGATAGAAATTTATTTTTACCTTGAGAGTAAATATTATGCAAATTAATTCTATTTGCCTATCAAAATAGTTAAGCTCTCCAATGTTATGAATAGGAAAATGAGATGATAAAAAGAAATCAAATGGACAGAAATCCATTGTAAAGGCAACAAAAGTGAAAACTGTAGTAAACTATAAAAGCAAGACTCTAGTCTAACACTCTTGACTGGTTAAATGTGACCTAGAATGAACTGTTGTCCAGATAAACACTTCCATGACTGCAGCAGGAGGGAAAAGATGCACAGTTAATTAAAGGATTTTTTGCTGATTAAAAAAAGGGCCCAAAGATAATGATAGGTAATTAAGAAAGAAAATATTATAACTGGCTACAAGCAACATCCACAGTAACATAAGAATGAAGATATGTTCACTGTTCTGTTAAAAACATTTAATGCCACAGTAATAAATGACTCCCAGTCCTCTGTGGGGGAACAAAGTCCCCACTCCATTCCCAGGAGTTCGGTCCAAGGGAAGGAAACACACTTGAAACTCTTCCTCCCCACCCACAACAGAAGCACCGGGCACAGTAGCCAGGGAACAGGCAAACCAGTCTCTAAAGACAAATAACCTCTCAGAGATGGATATTCGTCCAACTACACATAAGAAAGATAAGAGTATTATTAGTTACAGTTCTAAAACCTACTTCGGATTTGTGATAAGAAGAAAGACTGTATGTAATTCAAACATTTAAGAAACCTGGTAAGCCTCAAACTAAACTGACATCTAGTCACAAAGCATTCACAAATCCTACCTCCCTGACTCGGAGGTAGGATTTTTACTAAAACACAGCACAAACTATGCACCTGGTTTCATTGATTTCAATAAATATTCACTCCAAGCAAGGCTCTGTCGCTGATGGTCATATTTTCCCTAGTGCTGTAATCCTGTCATTCTCCTCCAGGCAGGAGAGTGCCGCATTTCAATGAGGCTGTTGTGACCGTTTATCAGAACTCTCAAACAAAAACAGTTGTCCAGTGGTTGAACTTTAAATAGGAAAAATATCTGAGCACAACCTCCACATTTTTCTCATTATCCAGTGGCTTCTAAAGCAAAAGTTTAATTATCATTTAAAATGTGGCCTAAATGTCCCCGGCACAGAAGAGCAGCTCAGAAACCATCACTTTCTTATTGACAGTCTCACCGTGCTCTTATGAGAAGTTTTCGCTATTACCATACACACAGACATATAGATGTTTTAATCTTCAAATCCAACATGACTCCAATTCCAGGAAAAAAAAGCACTGAGATGTTAGCACACTGGAGAAGCAACCATTTTACTCCTTCAAACTAAAGTTCCATTTCAGATATTAACTTACAATCTTAAACACACAGAAAGGAGGGCGGACAGGAAAGGGGTAGCAGAAGGCTAAAATCCAAGGCTGTCTGGGGTCCCAATAAAGAGGTTGTTCTGTAGCTGTTTGAGAACTTGGCTTGCAAACTACTTTCTTAGGCCAGAGAAAAACTCCTCCGTAAACTGTTGGAATTTCACCAAAGAATCAATCACAGCAGCCCCTGGGACTAATCTGGTACTGCCGGACTTTCACGCATGGTAGCCCGTATAAACACAGTCGATACAGCATAGTTCTAGCAAGTCTTGGCAAATTTTAACGGTGGAGAGCAAGACTACTTTTATTTTTCTATATTCTTGGGTTAAATGTTTTCACTTAAAATAATAAACACTTCTTCAAGATTATTATGGTTAGCTCAGTTTTGAAATACTGGCAAGGTCATTTCAAGAAGAAAAATGGGAAAGGGAGAGGTATCTTTTACACGAGATAAAAAATTCACTTTTCAGTGTTCCGTTGAGTTTCAACAAACGCATATATAGTGGCCTCACCAGCACAACAATCAGGCTACGAACAGAGTTAACTCTTCGAGGATTCTAAAAAGCAAAATTAATTTGTCAGTATACTTTAAAAGTATTTTTGCTTTTGTAACCTCACCTCATTTATTTAGAAAAGCAAAATAACACGGTCCGAGTGATCCCAACGTGTGAATGCCTCGGCAATAAACACCCTCCTCCCAACACCGGCCCGGCGGGGGTGAGCACCGCAGCTAGGGGCGCGCGTCACTGTCAGCTCCTTTCCCCGAGTGGAGACGGGGGAAAGGCAGAGTTGCATCCCTGGGCTGGAGCCACGAGGAGGAAGAGTTTAACGGCGGAATGACAAACTCTAAGCACGGAATGCCTCTCCCTAGTAGGGCACTGCGCGTGTGGAGCACGGCCAGCGTCGCGTGGGAAGAAAGACGACCTATTTCCTACGACCGTCTTCCTAACTGGACGGAGCGGATGGGAGGCGGGGGCTGGTCCTCGGGCACCCCGGTGGGCACTGAGGACTCGCAGAGAGGAACATAAAACCGCACAGCCTTCCCCGGGCAGCGGGGTGACGGAAAGAAGGAAATGAGAGCGCGACCCGGCCGCACGCAGAGCCAAGCAGACCAGCGCGAGGGGCCCGGGCCCCACCCGAGAGCAGGCGCGAGGGCCGGGGACAGGGGGGCAAGCACAGGGAGAGCGCTGCCTGCACCTGCCACCACCTCCGGACCGGATGGCGCGGAGCCCAGGAGTGTGGGCGCCAGAAGGGACCGGCAGCAGCGAGCGCGCGCCTCCCGCCCCGCAGGGCGCCAGGACAGAGGCCGACCCGCGCCCTCCGACCCCGCAGGGCCCTCCCTACCCCAGCTCCGGGGCTCACGCCCGCCCCTTCAAGCCCCGGGCCCGGAGCGGCCGGCAGGGCTCGGGCGGTGGCGCGCGCCGGACTTCAGCAGAGGGGCGCCAGCCAGGGCGGGGGTCGGCCTCGTAACACTAGGAGAGGCAGCGCGAGTTTCTCTCGCAGCCCCCGGGCCACATGCGCGCAGAGACCGCCGCCAGCACTCACCTGCCCGCTTCCCCTGGCGCAGCGGGAACGACGCACTCCGGCCCGGACCCCGCCGTCCGCCTCAACCAACCCCCAGGCGGTGGCAGTGGCGGCGGTGGCAGTGGCGGCGGTGGCGGCGGCGGCGGCCGGACGGGAGGGGCGGGACGGCAGCCTGAGACGGCCCTGCCACCGCGGCCCAACCCCGCTCCGCCCGCCCTAGACCCCACCTCCAGGCCGCCGCCGCAGCCGCTCATTGGTCCGCGCCTCGGACGCATGGGCGCGGCCCCGCCTCGCCGCCAAGCCGGCGTTCCGTTCGGGGTCCTCCCCAGCCAGTGGGCTGGCGGCTCCCGGGGGCGAGAGCGGCCAGCTCAGCCGCCGCCAACCCCGAGGTCGCAATTGGCTGCGTTCGCCCCCGCCCCAGCTCTGATTGGGAGAAGGGCGACCCGGGCCCCGCCTCCGCTCCCAAGTTCCGTTAGCAGGTTTGGTTGCTCCAGAGTCTTTTTCGCCCCGGGGGGCGGGACCGACGGGAGTGGCCCTGTGGCTGGCTCCTCCCCCTGCACGCAGCAGCCACTGACCCGCGGGGCGGGGGAGGAGGAATGAGGCGGCCCATTCCGCTTTTGAGAGCCCTGCTTTCTTCCCATTGGTTAACAGGCATCCTACTTTCTCCGCCCCTCCGGTCGCTTGGTTTTTGTCTCAAGACGCAGCGTGATGACGTATTCCCCGACATTCCACATGCAAGATGGCCGCAGTCGGCAAGGAGAGACGTCGCTAAGGGGCTTGCCTGAAACGAGGGGTGAGTGACCCACCGACTGCGGGCGGCACCGCCCACCTCCCACGTATCTGGAGGTCGGAGTAGGTTATGGCCAACCGCCGCCATCCACTGGCGGAGTCTCTCTTTTCGGATTCCGCCTCCCTCCGCTAACCTCTCGTACACATTGAACTTAGCGGGCGGCGCGGGGCTACGGGGCGGGCTTGGAGTGAGGGTCCGAGGCGCCGGGGCGGGGCAGGGAGGCCGGGCGCACCCTAGAACTGGTGGCGGCCCTCGCAGTAGGGGTCAGTCAGAGTTAGGGGACTTTCTAGGGCTTGGGCAAAAGGGACAGGGGTGTCACCCGCGCACAGTCTCATAGCCACTGAGTACTCATATTTCCCCGATTATTTCGCGGCGTATTAGTCCCAAACTTGGGTAGGCCTGAGACTTTTTGGAGATTGTTCCGTATCTAGGGTACTCCGACTTTGGAGTTTGAAGAGCCACGTAACGAGGGTGCGACTAGGAATGAGGAAAAGGCACTTCCGCGATTAGATTTCGTTCTTATGGAGACATCGTCTTTACGGACCCGCTCCTGGTGGTTAATTTGGTTTGTTATGAGAGAAATTGTTATTTAGAACATGGGAACGAAAGTCTAGAGGTTATCTGACAGCTCCTAAACTATTGTCTGCCCAAGATAGGCTCGGTGACGCTTCCTAAATTTAGATTGCCAGTTAAACGGAGCTTTCGCTAAGTCATCTTAGGTTAGGAACGACTTTTTCTTTTTTTCTTTCTTTTTTTTTTTTCCCGAGACAGAGACTGTCTCTGTTGCCCAGGCTGGAGTGCAGTGGTGCAATTTTGGCTCACTGAAACCTCTGCCTTTCGGGTTCAAGCGATTCTCCAGCCTCAGCCTCCCGAGTACCTGGGATTTCAGGCGTGCGCCACCACGCGGCCAGGCTACTTTTTGTATTTTTAGTAGAGACGGGGTGTCACCATATTGGCCAAGCTGGTCTCGAACTCCTGGCCTCAATTGATCCTCCCGCCTCGGCATCCCAAAGTGCTGGGATTACAGGCGTGAGCCACGGCGCTCGGCCAGGAATGACTAATAAGAGCATTTCTTAAGGGTGGTCTTTTATGTTTTTAAGGGAAGCTTGGTGATGTTTGTGTATCTCGATCTAAATCTCTCTTTACAGATGTCTAGCACAGTGCCTTGCAATTTTAGGCGCTCATTAAAGGCTTGTAGGAATGATGTTGCTAGAATGAAAGCGAGGAACTTTCAGCGCCCAGAACACTGCCTGACGTTTATTAAGCCCTCTGTATTGCCCAATGAAAGAACCGATAGATGATAGTAGTGATAGTAGTATTCACAGACATTTGGATTAAAGTTGTGTCATTAGGATGCTTACCTGTTAAATAATCTTGACTGTGAATGTAGTGATTATCCAAGATTGTTTTATTCAGAGTGACTACCACTGGTGTCTCTTAGGGGTTTTTACCCCCTTTTATCCCATTTCGATTATATTGTGATGCGTTGTTCATGCTTATTAGTTGATTTCTGGGCAAATTCTTTTTGAATTTGTTCCATTTTGAAAACCTAGTTTTCACTAACAAGCAACAAAAACTATTCGAGTTGTTAATGAGGTTCTTAAATTTTAAATGCTGTTTCTAAAACTGAATGTCATAAAGAAAAGTTGGTCATATCTGTGGCCTATTAAATGAGCTAGTTCATTTCAGGAGATTATATTTGAAAGCAGACTCTGCTGAGTGCGTAAAAGGGAGGGCAGTGTTTTCTGCTTGTTTTCTTTAAAACTGGGTAAGGACAAAAAATCTAGAGGAATTAAATTCAAGGTAATTGAGATAACAGAGTGATCATATTTTTAAGCTCAAATTGTTTACCAGAGTAATTGCAGATGACATTGTAAAATCATTATTGATGAAAAATCCTAAAAATGCAGTTAATAATAGAAGACTAGTGTCTGATAAATGTCTCAGTTTTCACCAAGAGCCATGAGATGGCTCTTGGATGCTAGGAACCCATTAATAATCTGTTCTAGAATCTTGTTGGAAGAACCAACAAGTTTATAAGAACTTGGGAAAGGAAAGCTGATTCTCTCAAGCCAGCAGAAAGTTTCAATAAGAATAGGACAGGTGAGGCCAGAGGTAGTGGCTCATGCTTATTATACCAGCACTCTGGGAGGCCAGAGCTGGAGGATCACTCAAGCTCAGGAGTTAAAGATGATGCTGAGCAACATAGTGAGACCTCGTCACTACAAAAAAAACCAAAAAATTAGCCAGATGTCTTGGTGCATGCCTGTAGTAGCTACTCAGGAGACTGAGGCAGGAGGATCACTTGAGTCTGTGAGAGATCAAAGCTGCAGTGAGCTGTGATCGTGTTACTGCACTCCAGCCTGGGCGACAGAGCAAGACCCTGTCTCAAAAAAAAAAAAAAAAAAAAGCCAGGTGACACAAATCATATTTCCTTTTGTTATGGTTTTTACTAGACTGGTGGTGATTGGGGATTGCTGGACATAAGTTCATTTAAGTTTATTTAGGACACTGAACATAATTCTGTGTCTAGACAGAAGAGCTAAGTGTGCATTGGATTAGGTGTAAATGGATTTATTATATCCATTCAAATTACCAAACCCAAAATGTTGATTAATGGGTTGATGTAAGCCTGGGGAGATGTCTTCGGAGATATACTACAGGACTCTGGTCTTGCCCTGACCCTGGTTAGCACTTTTATATTACCAACTTTAAATATATAAGAAGCATGCTCCTCAAGTTAATAAATGCACTCAAACCGTGTAGTGATAATTAGCCAGCACATTAGATGACACTAATATAAATTTACTAGGCAAGATTGTATACAAAAATAATAATTTAAAAATAAATGCATTTACTTGGAGTGATTAAATTTATAGACACTCAATTTTTCTTGCTTGACAAAAGTGGTTCTAGGATGTAATGTTCCACTCACAGAAGCAGAGCAGTGTCTAGAGTGAGGGAAGGCAGTATCTTGGTATAAAGTAAGACAGATTGTGAATGCCACTTGTTAGCTGTAAATTAGTCAAGTTGCTTCGTGTCTCTGGCTCCATTTTCTCAGTGATGAATTGTGAAGATAAGTAAACATAGCTTGCAGACATGCTGCAACACAGCAGACACAAATGGACGTGTTACTGAATGTTAGTTACTGCTCCTCTCCCATGTACTATGCACATGATATCTGTTTTGATTCCTAATATTTAGGGGGAAGTTGAAACACTGAAAAAAAATCATGGTGAGGAAAATGGTTAGATTTATTTACCCTAGAGAAGAGAAGAGAATGTAAAATTGCTTTTACCTATTTGAAAGGCAATCAGTAGATAAGGGAAGTGTATTTTCAAGGCTTAGTTTAGGGACCCTGGTGGAAGTTCGAGAGTTGGGTAAAAGGTAGATTTTACTCATACATTATTTTATGCAATCTGTGTAGCAGATCTAGGGGATGAGCAGAGCAGATAAAAATCGACATAGGAATACAGGAATTATGTGAACACGAGTTATTGATACCCAGCAATGGCATAGGTTGTTTTATAAACGAATGAGATTTCATTGATAAGTGGCCAAATATTACTAAGAGGGGATTCCAATATTGGGTGAGAGAATTGCATAGTGACATTTACTATTGTTTCCATAATTCTAAATGTTGAGAATATATTTAGTCTTTTATGATGTAAAATGATATTTATGAAGCACATTCCTGAAAGGTGCTGCTAAAACATCCTGACAGGTTACTTGTTTATGGATTTTCGTTTTGCAGAGTTCATAAATCTCAGTCATTTTCACAGTAATCACGAGCTGCTAATGCGAAAATTTATAACTTTAGGGTCTTGCAAAAAAATAATTGAATAGGGAACAGATTTATAGAACTGAGGCAAGAACTTTTTCAGGGAGTTGTACGATTTTGAGGACTGTCTCGATTCTGTTTATGTCCATAATATTTTCACTGCATTTCATGAATTTGTTCATTCTGCCTTGGAATCTGCAGGGACCAGGAGTTTGGCCAGTGACAGAAGGTAAAACAGAATTGAATGTACTTATGATTTATCCACCTGTAGACTGAGATTCTTTTCCATTCCAGTTATGTCCCTACTGGGTTATTTCTGATACTACTCCCCACTCTGCCCCTTTCCCCTCAACAGATATCTTGGCATTCCACTTCCTAGATAATATGGAGGGAGTTTGAGATTTTTTAGTTACTTCCTCCCCCTTAACAGATTCTTTAATAGTATCTTTCTCAAATTTTTTCTTCCCTTCTCAGGGAAAGAGCGAGCTTTCTTTCTAAGGTTAACTTTTTACTGTGCTTTTTATTATCCCTTGACCAGTCACCCTCCCTTGTTCTGACTCCTCTAGTGATTCCTTTTTTTTTTTCCTAGCTGCAGACATTTTTCATTCTCCTTTATGCTGAAAAATAAATAAAAACCAAAGAATAACAAAATAACAAAACCTATTCCCTGCTATTCCCCGTTACTCTCTTTGAGAACAGATGTCTCAAAAGAATAACCTATTTCCGGCCACGCGTGGTGGCTCATGCCTGTAATCTCAGCTACTCAGGAGGCTGAGGCAGGAGAATCCCTTGTACCCAGGAGGCAGAGGTTGCAGTGAACATCACTGCACTCCAGCCTGGATGACAGATGGAGATTCTGTCTCAAAAAATTAAAAAACGAATTAGAAAAGAATAACCTATTTCCTAGCCTGTTTATTCTTTACGGTTTCTACACCTTCTGCCCTATTGCACTTCCAAAAATGTTATTTTATTTATATGTGTATGTATGTATTTTACTGAAATGTAATTCTATACCATACACATTACCCACTTAAACTGTACAAGTCAGTAGTTTTTAGTATTTTCAAAGCTGTGCAACCATCACAATTTTCAGTGTCTCTAATAAATAGCTAATCGCCAATTCAAGTAAACTTTCCTCAGTCCCTTGTCCTTTGACTTTTCTTTAGCATTTGTCACTGTTGACTATCATCTCTGTTTTAAAGCTGACATCCCTTGGTTTCTT